TTTTTTTTTTTTTTAAGAAATCATAGTGTCTCTATTTTCTCCCCATAGGTTTTATTTTGCCGTCTTACGGATGAACAGCATAAAGTCTACCAAAAATTCATTGATTCCAAAGAAGTTTACAAGATTCTTAATGGAGAGATGCAGGTCAGCCAAAGAGTAGAACCAATCAGATCTGAAGAAATGAATTATGCACCAAAGGAAGCAGGGAGGAGAGGAAAGTAGCCTTTAAGTATCCAGAATGTTTCAGGCTTTTCATGAAATGTTATCTCAATTCATTCTCCTTCAGTTTGTATGATAGGTATTGAGTCACAGCTTGAAGACATTAAGGTTCAGAGACATTAAGTAGCTGGTCCCAGGTTGTATAGCAAATAAGCTATGTTGCTTGAATTCAGACTCAGGTTTGACTATAAAGCCCATGCATTTTCTATTATTCCAGAAGTTCTTATCTAGTGGATGAGTAGGTATTGGGTATATAGTTAGATTTTCACAGAAGTATGACCACAAATTATGTATTCTAGGGAGATTTACAACTTTCATCAGCTTCTTGAAGGAACTCCATACCCAGTAAGAGTTTTTGAAACCACTGTGATGTTGGAAACCAGATAGAATCTCTGGTTCTAATATCCCCAGTTCTCATTGCCCCAGTTGTGTGAAAGGAATTTATGTGTAGGTCATTCCATTCTTCCTGATACTGAGAAAACTTGCTTTCTATTGCCTAGAATTCAGAAGTTACTTGTTAGTATGCTCTCAGAAAAGCCCCATTATGTAAAATATGGAATGTAATCATATTTGTCTTTTAGGGACACCTTTCCCACACCAGAGAGTCCAAAAGCACTTTAAATAAGAATGAGTTGGTTGGAATACACAAAGGACCTAAATCTCATGGGCAGGGTTGTATGCTGGATTCTGGGTATAAGTTTTACTCAGGTGCATGTATGGGCCACTAGGTCACAAAACAAAATGAAAAAAGGTCAGTAATTCTTTATTATAAACCACTTCGCTTAGAATCTTAATTTGGAGCCCTTCATAAGTAATAAAGTTCAGTTCAGTTTTAGCACCCTCCTTTTTTATCTGTACTTCAAGATTGTTCCCCAGGAATCCCACACTGTGTGGGCTACAGGAAGGATTAAGTCTGATGATGTATCTTGCAGAGTACATAGGGAAAACAGAACCCTGTATTCTTGGGGTTAGCAGGTACATGGAGGAAGAACTATTTTTATAATTTTTCTATAAGTAAATAACAGTACTTTAGTATTAGCAGTACTCAGCAATACATTTGGGTATATGTCAGTTCAATAAGCATATGTATGTATTAGGTTTATGTTCAGCATTTAGTTTAGAGCTTCAGGTAATCTATTTGACTTCTCTGTGCTTTGTTTACTTGACACATAAGACTTCTGAGGGCTGGAGGGGACTTTTTGGTCATGTAATTGTGCTCTTCTTGCTGTCATCTAGGTAGACTCATTTTTGAGAGAGGCTTTCAGAATTGGCCTTAGGAATCTAGTCTGTCGTGGATATGTCTTTATGTCAGCAAGCTCATCCGCACACGTTCTTTAACTAATGTGATCCTTTGGCCCACAAGTATCTGCCCTCCTTGGAAGCAGAGCACTGTGTTCTCTGCATACTTTCTGCATTTTATGCTTTTAGGTAGATAAAGAGATGAATGGGTGACATGGCTTCTATAGAATCTAGATAATTTTTTCCCAAAGTAACTAAGTTCTGTTCTTTTAACCATCTTTCACAATTTCTTACTTTGTCCATCATTGGTATCTCTGGGAAATTTTTAAAACATTAGCATCTATTCATAATTATAAATCTCCCCTTAACACCTTCACGTGCCTCCAAGTTGTGAACCTTAGCTGTTCTCAGCACTGTCCAGTACATACAGAAAGCAAGCCACACAGGTAGTTGATGTTTTCTAGTAGTCACATTGAGAACAGGTGAAATTAATTTTGATAGTATATTTTATTTAACTCACTATATTCAGAATTTCATTTTATTATATAATAAAAATGAAAAAATTATTAAATGAAATATATGTTTTTTTGCAGTCTGAAGTTTTTTATTGAAACATTTTATTTGAAGATACTCAAAAATTGCTTTTACCGTAGGACTGTGAAATGTTAACTCTGCTGCCTCCCAATAGAGTCAGTAATGACTTTTACAACCCTAAGGGAATTAAAGTCATTAGTCAAAGACAGTTAAGTTAGTTATCAAGTGAGACTTCTTAGCACTTATGACCAATCCATTATAAACAAATAGCAGTCTTAAAAAACAAATTCCAGAATAAATGCAGTTAAATCAAGTCTAGAAAAGAAAGTGCAAGGAGCTCACTGGCTATGCTATACCAAATGGATAAAAAGTAAAATTGACTTTATTCTATAGGGTCTACATAAATAAATAACTGAATCCTATCATATCTTTCTGTTTATATGCTTAGAAGTCGTATACTAATAACAGAATGCTCTGCTTCAGTAGGTTAATAAGCTCCCTAGAAAAAGACAGAAATCGTTTGATAATCAGCTCCCAAATTTTATGCTTACTTTTTCTGCTTCTATCAGTTTCTTGACCTATTTACCATAAGCAAGAAATTCTTTTCAGTAAATTGAGCACTTGGAATCTAGAAAGATATTGAAGGGCTCTGGCAAGTTACATATGTCCTTTGTTGCTTTTAGTTTCCCTTCTCTTTTTTACTTCAAATCCCCATGCAAGTTTATTCTTTCTTCAAACAGCCTGTGAATTTTCAGCACACATTTTGGCTTTTACAAAATTATGGTACACAATGCCTTTGGCAGTTTTCATACCAAGCTCTCAAGTAGCCAGCTTGTTGCTGAGTTCTTTGGCTGCCTTGATATTCCACTCTTCCGCAGTCTGGCCTGTGCTCTTTTGAGTACCTGACTTGCCCATTTTTTTCTTTTTTGCAGGACTTTTTCTTTTTTTCATTGACTCTAAAATATTGAGTAAGCTCCTTCCAGTGAGTTTCATTTGAAGATTTTTCACTATGAGACTGCTCTTAATTCTTCAATTTACCTTTCCTGAAGTGTTTTTCTTTTTTCTCCTGAACCTTGATTATTGAGGTTTTCTTTGATGTAATTCTTGAAATTTATTCCACATATTTACAGAAATTTTAGAAGGGCAGTCTGCATATGCTTTTACATTCACCTCTGTTTCAATTTTTGGTCCATCTGTTGGGAAATCTGAGGTTTCTAATTCTCTAGTCATCTGATCTTCAGCATCCTGTAAGTGAAGTCTTGAGTTTTCTGATGTGGCTTCATCTTAAGAATTCAACTCAACATCACTTTGATTTAGGCCAGGAGATAGCAGCCCACTCAGCATCTTTTCGGTTGGCAACTGGGTACCTTTATTTATTTTCTTTTGTACTAAGTCTTTGAAAGTGAGTGTGTGTTTTATATTTACAGCACATCTCAGTTTGCACTAGCTATAATTCGCAAGCTCAGTAGTACCTGTGGCTGGTGGGTATGGAATTCAACAGCACAGATCTAAAAAACCAAACCCACTGCCACTAACTCATAGTGACCATATAGGGCAGAATTGAACTGCTTTGTAGGGTTTCCCAGGCTGTACATTTATGGAAGCAGAATGCCTCATCTTTCTCCAGAGCACTTGGTGGGCTCAAACTGCTGATCCTTGGTTAGCAGCCGCATGCTGCTACACCACTGGAGTATAGATCTAGAGGAAGAAAAAAATGACTTACAGATGACTTGGTAGGGAGTTTTGACAGTGCTTCTGATTTGTTCACATCCTTTATTATTTACTGATTTAACTATAGTTTGCTAGTTAAAACTGCCAAACTCTTTGATGATTGGTTTAACTTGTGATTTATATTTTCCTACTTGAGCTTTTATACTGGTGAGTTGATTTGAGTCCTCCTCTAAAAGCTGTGAAAGAGCTCTTGGTTAAAGTTTTTCGTTAATGCCCTTCTGGGGATGGGAGCACCATACTTTGGTCCCCTGTGCCCTTCACGTCTTTGCCATTATTGCATTTTTCAGGCAAATGTGTTGTATGGTATAATACAAATATAGAAGTAAATGGAACTGCAATCTCTGAGTTACATATTAAGCTACTGAACTTTTAGGAGGTATGTAATGTAATATTAAGTGTATTTGATAAGTCACATGACTGATTTCTCCAAATCTAGATTGATAGACAGTTTAGATATGTATTTGAAAGATGAGCCAGTTTTTCTTTTGTTGTTGTTTTCATTGTGATTTGGGTGAAAGTTTACAGAGCAAATTCATTATCCATACAACAGTTCACACACATTTTATTTCATGACATTGATTGCAATGCCCAAGAGGTAATAGCTCTCTTCCTACTTCCTCCCTTTGTTACCTTTTCCTTGTGTCCTTTCCTATGCATTCCTGCCCTCTGAGCTAACTCAGTGTGCAAATACTGCCAATGAGTCAGTTTTTTATATCAAATTTATAATGCTGTGAATCATGTAGCCTTTTTTCTAGTGAGGAAAAATATATTTTCAGCATTTGAAGTTGGCCTCTAGAGACATGCTTGGTCCAATAGAATTCTTTTTCCAGAGAATTTGCCCTAATGGAAAAAGAAAATGAATGAAGGTTGATTTCTTCCAACTCCTAATAATAATAAACCAAGAAGTTGGTGAAGAATTACTTTTCATCTTTTGTTACCTATTGAACAGCTTCCTTCCCTCCCTTCCTAAGTGAATATTATTTTACAAGGGGTAATCTGAGTGTATGTGTTCTTTTACACCATAGATTTTCTCTGGACTTGTAGCCCTAAGGAAAATATGCAACCATCCAGATCTCTTTTCTGGAGGTCCAAGGAATCTCAAAGGTCTTCCAAATGATGAATTGAAGGAAGATCAGTTTGGATACTGGAAACGTTCTGGGAAGATGATAGTTGTTGAGTCCTTGTTGAAAATATGGTACAAGCAGGGTCAGCGAGTATTGCTATTTTCTCAGTCAAGACAGGTGAGTGAACAAAACTTCATATAAGAAAGAAGTTGGTTCTTTTATGATTTATAATTCTTAATTCTAAAGATAGGTGGCAGCCTGCAGATCTTTTTGGGAGCTCAGAACTTTCTTTAGAGCTCGTCTTAGAAGTTGGTTTCTTAAAATTCACCATGTGATTGTGTGCATGTGAGTTTAGGCCTGAACAAAAATAAATGCCAAGCTAATTATAAAACTTCTAAGAATTAACAGTAGGGAAATACCAAATACACTCTTACACCAATTATATTTGCCTATTTTGAAGTAAGAAACCCCTAATAATCTAAGCTGGTCTGAGGAAGGTGTCACTGTTGACACAAATGGAGAAGCACACTGCAGTGGTTATGGGATTTTTAAACTCTTCTCTCCTACCCCTCCCCAAATAGATGCTGGACATACTTGAAGTATTCCTTAGAGCCCAAAAGTATTCCTATCTTAAGATGGATGGTACCACTACAATAGCTTCAAGACAACCACTGATTACAAGATACAATGAGGTAATGAGTAAATGTAACAGTAAAGTTAATTGGTACTGCTGTATGCAGAGAACAAGAGTCCCTGGGTAGTGCAAGAGTCCCTGGGTAGTGCAAACAGTTAATATATTTGACTGCCAACCAAAAGATTTGTCACCTCAGAAGAAAGCCCTGGCAATTGACTTCTAAAAAAAATCAGCCATTGAAAACGCTGTGGAGCAGTTGTACTCTGATACACATGGAGTTGCCATGAGTCAGGGTTAACTCAACAGCATTTTTTTTTTCTTCGATGCAAAAGAAAAGGAATAAGAGGGTTCACACCAAACCAAACAATGTTTATATCTGGAATTAAGTAGGGCCTGAAAGGGATTATTTGCTTTTAACTCTGTCCATTTCTGAATTTTCTGAATCGTTGGGTGTGTGAGTATGCCTGTACATAGTTAAGCAAAGAATGTGTATTTCTTCTGTAACACCCAACTTTTAATTACTGCTAGTGTTAGTGATATGAAAAGTGAGAGCTGTGAGGTGGGATCCTGATTCACTGAAGATCTCTAGGATATAACTGATCCCTTATACTGGGAAAGATCGCCATATGTAGAATATGTAAAAGCAGAAGTCAAGAGCTGCAGCATGTTTTAAGTGTGCATACTGAGTATCACGTGTTACCTCTAGGACTCATCCATATTTGTGTTTCTTCTGACCACTCGTGTGGGCGGCATAGGAGTCAACCTGACAGGGGCAAACAGGGTCATTATCTATGACCCTGACTGGAATCCAAGCACAGATACACAGGTCTGTTTACTTTTTAATATATCAGTAAAAATATGGTTTCATTATTAGCACCTGTGATTGTCTTTTGATGTTCTAGTCAGCTTCAGCACACAGTTTATGTCTTTGGTTTTTTCCTAGCCTTCGTCATTATAGACAACAACCTGCAGAATCACATAGAAATTTCAGTAGTTTATCCATAGCTTTCATTGCTAGATTTGGGATAAAAAGGGAATTTGTGAAGTTACAAACACACTTTTTTTTTTTTAAATAGCCCTGGCCCTGCTGTGGCTACTCAGCAGCCAGGGACCAGGAGATAGGACGTGGCAGGGGAATATCATTGCCCAAGGCTCAGACACAGGGACTTGGGCACAGATGCGGCAGCACCGAGAGCACTGGCCACTACTAGGGACAGGAAAATGGTATAGGGGACAGGGGAACAGGGTCTGGACAAACACACATTTTTTTTTTAAGTGAAAATGTCTCAGTTGTATTTTTGTCACCTGGCTGTTGATCTTCCTTAATATAGACCTTTGGTGTGCTTGGCCTCATTAACCAAACTTGTAACTTTGGAATTAAAAGGAATCTGCCAGCTCATCATTGTTCCTTTCAGTTAGTCCTTCTCCTTGGGAAGGCATTTGCTGAGCTCCGTCTCTCTGCTGTAGGCCCGGGAGCGAGCATGGAGAATAGGCCAGAAGAAGCAGGTGACTGTGTACAGGCTTCTAACTGCGGGCACCATTGAAGAGAAGATTTACCACCGGTCAGTACTTAACGGTCACCACTCCTTGGCTTACCTCGGCTTGCCTGGCTGCAACACATGGAGGATAAAAGAAATTAGGCTGCCAGGGTTTTAAGTGAAGAATTTTGTTTTGAAGTGGTCTTTGAAAAAAGTCTTTTCATCCTAAAGCAGTATTTACTGTAACTTAAGAGATGTGAGGGGTTTTGGTTGTGTTTTTTGTTTTTTTCCCTTTCTCAAACTATCTTCAAACTTGATCATTTTTCTATCTTCTTAAACTTTGAGGACCACTTATAAACTTATAGTAGTATATTATTATCTGAGAAAAATGTTTCTACCTAGTATATTGTGCTTCCTCTTTTAGAAATTTTTTTTGAAGTGACAAATTTGAAATACTAGCATATTGATGTTTTCACATACCACTCAAGTATAATTAGTGTGCATGCCGTGGTGTTCTCGATGTGCCTTAGAGAGAGGTTGCCCAGGAGAGACATCTGTTTCATTGTTCCATCTCTCTTCTTAATGACTGGGGAATTTTAGATGATGGTAAGTTTACCAGTAAGTCAGGAGATTGCTAGCTTCTCCCTCTCCCCTACCAAAGATGTTATTTTTGAGCTGTACCCTAGCTCCTCCATTGTGGGTCAGGGGGTACTTGTACTACACATGCAGCTAAGGTGCTCCCTGAATGTTAAATGTTCTTGGAGGACCCTGGACCCTTGTGAGAAAGCTGGAGACCAAGTTAAATTCTGTTGAGAGAAGAGCTTCCTCTTAGAGATCCATGCTTTAATCTGAAGCTTAAGCAACTGGGAGGAGACTGGGCTACTTTGTGGAGGAATCTGAGCAAGAGTGATGGTGGTGTGGCGCTTTCACATGGAGAGTGGATCAGCAAGTAGGAACTGGGGGCAGGGGGTCAAAGGGAAATCTTCGAAAGCACAGGTAAAAGTTTCCTAGCATAGAACCCCAGCATAGGATCCTCCTAAGTAGAGATGAGCAGAGGGTCCTATGTTCAGGAGGAGTCAGGGAGACACTCCCTCCAGCTCAGGGGCTGTGAGTCACATGAGTCGTATGTAAAGAAGCGTTTCTTGAAATGTGATGATTCTTGGTGATTGAAAATGCTCTTTGGATGTAAATAGTAAGGTTTTATTTCTAATTTAAATTTAGTAATACAAGAAAGATCAACCCATCTGATGCACTATGTAATTCTTGAATTGTTATTTTTGAAAAGCTAAAAGTTCTAAGGATTATTTGGACAGTGATGCAATTGCAGTTAACATAGCTCTCTTATATTATTTTATAGCTCAAATTCTGAGGTAGAGCTAACCATGTTTTCTTACCAGGTTTTTTTTTTTTATCTTTTTAGACAAATCTTCAAGCAATTTTTAACAAATAGAGTGCTAAAAGATCCCAAACAAAGGAGATTTTTCAAATCCAATGATCTTTATGAGCTATTTACTTTGACTAGCCCTGATTCATCCCAGAGCACTGAGACAAGTGCTATTTTTGCAGGTACTATATAAAATCACTTAATTTAATGTAAGAAACTTTACAGTTTTACAAGATAACATTAGCTGTGTTTTTCTCCTTTAAAGGAACTGGTTCAGATGTTCAGACACCCAAACGCCACTTAAAAAAAAAATTTCATCAGGCCTTTGGAGATGATGATGTTCCAAAATGCCAAAATTTACCAGATTCTAATATATCTGCTAATGATGCCATGTTACCTGAAGAAAAATCTAAGTCCACAGGAGCTGAAGTATATCCAGTAACTTCTAATTCCAGTGATCCTTTGAAAGATGACTCTCAAACAAATAATCTGTCCATCAGCTATACACTTATAGAAGAGAAATATTTGCAGATAGATGCAGTTTCTAGAGTAGAGGAGTCATCAGTGATTAGTGGAAATAAGGACTGTTCAAATTCTCCAAGAATCAGTAAAATATGCAAGACACCTGATGAGGAAAGTAGTGATGAAAAGCAACATCTTTCTTATAAAAGAGAAGGCTGCCAGGTTCAGACAGAGCCTTTTTGGGAGAATAAACAAATGGGAAGTAGTTTTTATAAGCACAAGTCAAAAACAAAACATCATGATGTGGTAGAAGAGCCTCTGGAGAAACATCTGAGACAGAAAGAAAAGCCTAAGAGTTCCAAGCATCGCAAAGACGCCAAGTTTGAAGGAACTCGAATTCCACACTTGGTGAAGAAAAGGCAGTACCAGAAGCAAGATGGTGCAGACAAGAGTGAGGCAAAGGAACGGAACAATGATGATTATGTTTTGGAAAAGCTTTTCAAAAAAGCAGGTAATCCTTTTGATGCATTTTCCACAGGTGAACTAGGAATAGAAAACGTAGCAAGCTTTAATGATGGTACAGAGTGGGTTCTAAATCTAAAATATTTTTTCTTTTAAAAAATCAAATGTATTAACATTTTTAAATTTGTGTTCACCCTCTTTTGTGAAGCCTTAGAAGAGAATTTGAAACTTTGAACAGTAGTACTTAAAACTGCTAATAGAAGTGCTACATGGTTTGAATTGATTTGTACTACCTGGACATTAAAGGAACTTTGGTGGCGCAGTGTCTGAGGCATTTGACTGCTAATCAGAAGATTGGTGGTTCAAACCCATTAGCTGCTCCATGAAAGGAAGATGGGGCGATCTACTTCTGTAAAGATTTACTGCCTTGGTAACACAGTAGGGGTTGCTATGAGTCAGAATCGACTCAATGGTGGGTTTGTTTTTTTTTTTGGGAGGGGGGTCAGTACCTGGACCTTAATAGCAAATTTCTTTTGATGCTATTTTTAATAGAAATAATATTAAATAATTCTGGGCCTTTTGATATTTATTATAAAATTTAAAATTTCTGTGTGATTACAGTGTACAAATATAGTTATTCATTGATTTTTCCCCCCCATACTACAGTAGCAGCTCCTCTAGAGGTTCCTTATACTACTCACAACTGAGTGGCAGATTAAAGTAACAGATCAGTGAAAATCACTGACCCTACCAGTCTTTTTGATGAGGATGTGAAGCAGTTAGAATTCTCATGCTCTCCTGGTGGGAATAATGTAAAATGGTATAACCATTTTTTAAAACAGTTTAGCAATTTCTTAAAAATTAAAAATATACTTACTGTATGATCTAGGCTTTACACTCAGTATGTATGTACCCAAGAGAACTGGAAACACATGTCCATACAAAGACTTGACTGTGAATGTTTGTAGCAACTTTATTAGGAATAGCCAACCCATCGTCCATGATCAGGTGAATGGTTCAGCTGACCATGGTATATCCCTACAATGGAATACTGTTCAGCACGAAAAAGAAATGAATTATTGCTACACACTATGACTGGATGAATTTCAATAATTAAGCTGAGTAGAAGAAGCCAGACAAATAAGAGTAATATCCTGTGATTTCATTTATAAAATTTTCTAAAAAAATACAAATAGCAGATTGGTGGTTGCCTGGAGATAGGGGGATTAGCATGGAATAAGGAGATGAGATTTCAAAGGGCACAAAGAAACATGGGGTAATGGATATGTTCATTATCTTGATGGCAGTAATTGTTTCACAGATATATACATATGTCAAAACTTAGCAAATTATATACTTCATAAAATTCTGGGGGGAAATAAACAGAAACTGTGAGTTCATATTGTTATCTCTTATTTTTACTTCAGTACCATAAGATCTCTTCCATATTTAGAGCTCCTTTCTCCAAAAGCTCAGGTAGCATAATGGTTAATGCATTCAGCTGCTACCCAAAAAAGATCAGTTTGAACCCACCAGCCACTCCATGGGAGAAAGATTAGTCAGTCTGCTTCCATAAAGATTTATAGCCTTAGAAACCCTATGGGGGTAACTGTGAGTCAGAATCAACTCGATGGCAGTGTGTTTGGTCTCCAAAAGTGAGAAACCTGTTGGCCATTATTCTCAATGTGTTGACTTACGTAAGATGCACAGATAGTAGTTTTAGGAATTATTAGCTCATACCACTACAAAAAGGAGCTCTGGTGGCTCAGTGCCTAAAGGCATTTGACTGCTAACCAGAAGGTTAGTGATTCAAATGCACCAGCAGCTGTGTGAAAGGAAAAAGGGACAATCTACTTCCATAAAAATTTAGTACCTTGGAAACCCTATGGGGGTCACTATGAGTTGGAATCAACTTGATGACAGTGGTTTTTTTTAAAAAAATAACCACTGCAAAGGAAGTCCCTGCATAGTGTAAACAGTTAAGTAAATGTTTAACTACTAACTGCAAGGTTGATGGTACGAACCAATCTCGAGGTGCCTCAGAAGACTGGCCTGGCATCCTGCTTCTAAAAGGTCACAGCCTTGAAAACCCATTGAAGCAGTTCTGTTAGCGCACATGATGTCATTATGAATTGGAACTGACAGTAGCAACTAACAACAACCACTGCAAAAAAAAAATCATACTGACTAGAGTTCATTATTTGTTTACCTTTCTTTTCTTCTTTAATCTAAAAGTATATAGTCAAAATACTCTGTCCAAAAGTTGTTTGCATGGGTTCTTCTCCCCCTTCACTTTGGCGTGTTAAATCCATTTAATATACAGTTTGGGTGCATTTGTTCTTTTAGGGCCCCCCCCATCCTTGTTGATTTCATTTATATTTGGGATATATATGTGAAGTATTAATATAGTGATAAAAGTAAAAACTATACAAAACTTGTTTTTTGGTGAAAATAAACAGATACATTTATGTTTTCATATTTCCCTTTCTTAGAGAAAAGGTAGCATACTATATACTCTTTTATACCTATTTGAAAAAAATATATGTATATCCTGGAAACACCATATTCGTTCACAGAAAGTGTCTTTATTCTTTGTTATAGCTGCAGCACTCTACTATGTGAATGTACTATAGTTTATTTACATGTGGCCATCTAGGTCATTTATAGTTTTTTTCAATTATAAGCTACACTGCAATAAACAATCTTAATGCTTATATAGTTTTGTATTATTGGAAATAAATCTTCAGAGAAAATTCCTGGAAGTGGGATAAAAGGTTAACACATATTTAGTTTTTTTTTTTAAGATAATGCCAAACTGTCCTCCGTAAGATTTATATAAAATTTTCACCAGTAGTATACAAGAGCACCTGTTCCCCACAGCTTTGTGAAAAGAGTATGTTGTTATACTTTTTAATTTTTGCTGATCTGATAGGTGAAAAATATCATCATCTTATAGTTTTTATTTTATTTGCATTTATTTTATAATGAGTGAAACTGAACAACTTTGGGGGCCATTTATATATAGATACATAGATAGATATGTATATGTGTTTTTTAATAAACCAGGATTTTGATTTATTAATTTGATCCATGGTTGCTTTCTTCTCTACCTCACTATTATTATTATTATTATTTATGGGGATTTGGGTGAAAGTTTACAGAACAAATTCATTTTCCACACGACATTGATTGCAGTCCCCATAATGGCACCACTCTCTTCCCAGTTCCTCCCTGTGATTACATTTTCCCTGGGTCCTTTCCTGTGCATACCTGCCCTCTGAGCTATCTCCCTGTGCAAATACTGCCCTTCTGGTCTACCGTGATTGATTGTTTGAAGGAGTGTACTTACCTAATGTAAATGTTCACCTTATACGCCTATTGATTATTTGGCTAGTAACTATGGGAGTAAGTTCAATTCCAGGCCCGAAGAGCGACGTGGGGCCATAGTCTCAGGCATTTCATTAGTCTCCCTGCCTCATTAATTTTTACATTTCTCTCTTTCTTCCTTAGGCTTTTACTGGTTTAGTTTGGTTTTTTTTTTTTACTTAATTTATTCTTTTTATAATTTTCAATTGAAAATTTAATTCATTTTTATCAACAAAAGTGGTTAAGGCTTTGAATTTTCCTCTAATAAATACAGTAAATATATTCCATAGATTCTGATATGGTATATTTTGATGATCATTATTTTTTACAAATTGTGTAATTCCACTTTACATTTCTTCCTTCACTCAAGTTTGTTAATAGAAGGTTTAAATTTACAGGTAGTTGGAAAGAGGTTAAATGTTAAAGTTGTGATTAAAGCATTATGTTTCAATAATAGTATTTGGAAAATTCTCTTATGTAGAAAAACACTCACTGTGAGGGTTCACAGGCTTTGAGCCCTCCGTAGATTTGAATCTTAACTTTTCCACCTTTGGACCAAGGGACCCTGGCTGAATCACTGTGTACTTGTCTATAAAATAGGATAGTAGTAGTCTCTACTTCTTAGAGTGGTGATAAGTTTAATAGAAACAGCATTCATAAAGTTCCTGAGTTATATAGTAAATAGCAGTTAAAGGTATTCATTTTTTTTCTCCATCACAACACAGTTGAGTACTACAGTAAAGCATGATTGTATTTCTACAAACTGAAATGTCACTTGTGCTGTTTCCTTTTTTGTTAGTTGGTGTGCACAGTGTCATGAAGCATGATGCCATCGTGGATGGAGCCAGTGCAGATTATGTACTGGTGGAGGCAGAGGCCACACGAGTGGCCCAGGATGCCTTGAGAGCACTGAGACTCTCTCGTCAGCGGTGTTTGGGAGCAGTGTCTGGTGTGCCGACCTGGACAGGCCAGCGGGGGATTTCTGGTGCACCTCCAGGAATAAAGTAAGAGATTGCTGCCCTGAGTGCTTGCGAGGAGGCCAGATATCTATGCTGGAGATGGGGTCAGGGCAGGTGTGGTTGAGTATCAGAAGCTGTAGAAGAACCCTTTGGAAGGGGTTGTGAGCTGAGCTTGTAGTCAGCCAGAACCTTCTCCTCACCTTTGTCCCTGCTTCCCAAAACCAATTTTCAGGGAAAGGAAAAGAGAGTGATCTGTTTTGTTTGGGACATGGTGTTGTTAAAAATAATAAGGGATAAAGAATAATCATTAAACTTTAATAGACAGTTAGCCAGTTTACAACAATCTGGAATTACTATGTTTTTAAGTGTGCTCTTTTAGAAGTTGAGGATGGTTTCCATCACACGTTGAATGAGGATATTGAGAGGTTCTTCTCCCCAAGGTGCAGCGGTTATTTCCAGAGAGAGTAAAGTGGAGGAAAGAAGAACCTTGTGGATCACGTTTTTTCCAGAATACGTTTAGCTGTGGAAAGATTATATTGATCTCCTAAGTCACAAAAGCAAGCATGCATATTATATCTACTGTAATTCTTCTCCTCATTTAGGAATAGATTTGGTCAGAAGAGGAATTCTAACTTCTCTGTCCGGCCTCCTTCTTCAGCATCTCCAAAAGGGAAATACCAGGTAACATGATAGCCCATGTGCTTTTCCTGAGTGAGACTTGCTGAGCTGAATTGCCTTGAAATTTTTACCTGATTCTGGATGTAAAAGGAACATGATTATCACTATAATGGCACCCTGGTAGTATTTGTGGCCAGCTAATTTCCTAAAAGGCAGAGGCTTTAACCCAACATATGTAGCAATATCTCTTGTTTTGCTTTCAGAAAGCTAACACAGGGATAGGTGATGTGTGTTTTGCTGCCCATGCAGCCTATGATGACCAGAGGTGAAGTGCAAACATCAGAGACCACATGCTTTCTAGTTTGAAGGCCCAGAAAATCACCTTGAATGTTGTCATCCATAGTTTCTTAGCTGCTAGAGCAGGATGCCCCTCTCCCTGTGGTCTACAACATCCTGCACACCTTCAGTGCTCTAATGAGGGTCAGTGCTCCTGAATCTAACCTACTAGGCCAAACCCCATCATTAAAGACTCTCCTTAGTCATTTCTGCCTAAGGGTTATGTTAATGATCATTAACATAATAAAATTCAAAAACTACCAGAATCTCATTTTAGATCAATATGGACACATTTAGGAATAGAGTATCTCTGATTTCCCATATTCTTTTAGCAGAAGGAATTGAGACTTTTTCAAAGACAAGTTTTTGTTGTTTTAGGGAAACATATATGAAGTATGGGATAAGAAAGAGAGACAAGATTTAAAATGAAGTAAAATAGTAAGCCATGCTACTGTTCCTCATTTCACAGTGCCTAGGTAAGGACAGCGTTGGGAGGAAGGACAGAGAAGAGCACAGAAACAAAAGGTGGCTCATGCTTCCTGGAGAGCTAGTCCTCCTAGGACTGTTGTTTAGAGCCAGACTTTCTGACTTCTCTGTCTTTCCTCTTTTCAGTCCTTCAGAATGATAATGAAGTGAATATTTTAGTTTTCCTTTTTTTTTTAGGGAAATAAAAGTACAGCGAGTGGATTTTGATTCTTAGTTCTCCTTTCCCTTGTATTATATGGATTCCCAATTCTTTCTTAACTTCTCTTACCCTGACTACTTGCACATATTTTATGGTATCTCAGAGCCTTTTAGAAGGTAATGGGGGCATAAACTAGAAATTAAACATATAAATACTTTATCTTCTTTTTTCAGGATGACGCTATGAAGACAGAGAAAAAAGATAATGTTCCCGAACATTTTAGTGGAAAAGCGGAGGATGCAGACTCTCCATCTGGGGCTCCTACTTCATCGTCACTCTTGGCTAAAATGAGAGCTAGGAACCACCTAATATTGCCAGAGCGGTTGGAAAGTGAAAATGTCTCTCTTTCTGAGGCTTCTGCCCCTCTACCTTCCACCACAGAACACGATGACCTTTTGGTAGAAATTAGAAACTTCATTGCGTTTCAGGCCCATATTGATGGCCAGGCCAGCACCCGGGAGATCCTGCAGGAGTTTGAGACCAAGTTATCAGCATCACAGTCTTGTGTATTTCGAGAACTGTTGAGAAATCTTTGTACTTTTCATAGAACTTCAGATGGTGAAGGAATTTGGAAACTTAAGCCAGAATACTGCTGATCAACGTTCCTTTTATTTGACTTTTTATAATGAAAATTTCTGATTATTAATCTTGTGGTTAATAGTAATATTTTTGTTGATGGAAGTTGGCTGTACTTGATGTTTACTTTGAATGACAGCTACCTCATAATTAAAACTTTAAGGAAGAAGAAACTCTCCCCAGAACTTAAAAGTTTTAATAATGCTAAGTAAAACAGAAAATACTTGAATTGACTTTCTTTTTTTCCTCTGTCTCTTTCTCCTCACTATAAATTATATCAAAAATCAGGGACCTAACAGTTCCTCCTTGGAACACATTTGTTCTTTACTTACAAGAGGCTATCAGGGAGCACATTACTGCTCATTTAGAAGTTTGTGAAATAGAAATTGCAAGATTTTTTTTTCATATTAGTGCTAAAAACATGTCTTATATTCAGTCAGACCAGTTCATCAATATCTGATGACAGCGTTATTTTGATGTGTAAGTCTTAAACATTTAAATTTACTGTTTGCCACCAAGAAAAGGATCAGATTTCTTAGCTTTCAAATGCTCATAATGATTGCCTTTAAATGACTCTCCTTGTATGGTACTGTTAAATTGGCAAATATTCTTATTAATAAAGAATGAAGTAGTGGCTAAGGCACTTGACTGCTAACTAGAAGGCTGGCGGTTCAAACCCACCAGCCACTCCTCGGAAGGAAGGTTGGGCAATCCTACTTCCATA